ACCTAAACTAACCATGGTTTGGAATTTGATCAGAGCATGAGGTTAGCGTGACTAACGGGTTTGACTTGACGGTGACTGCCGTCTAAATAAAGGCATGTTAACGCGTTGATAGAAACAATTGGAGACGGGGTAAACGGAGAGGCATTAGGGTGGTACTGGTGGGGGTATACTGCCGTTAGTTGCCGTCCCTTTCGCTGTCTGCTTCAAAGCAGGCAACAGGGTTGGCTGAAGTTCGACCGGCAGAATTTTGGGGCTTTTATTTATTTATTTATTACTCCTATTATTATTATTTTTCCCACTTTCTTTCTTCTCCTCCTCTTAACTCCAAACTCCAAAGTCCAAGATTTGTTTTTTTTGGTATTTGTTGGAGTTGGTGATTTTGACTCTGGGAAGGGCCTAATAATTACAGGGGAGGTGTCACTGTGGGGTCCAGTTATACAGTGTTAGATTTTGATCTTTGATTGTTTGTCTTTCTCTTTTTTACCCTCTTCTTGGGATGATGGTTTAAAAATAATTTTTTCATATAATCTTATAAGTTATTAAATAAATAAATAAATTTAATATTATATATTTTAAATAAATAAAAAATTAATTATTTAAATAATACATAAAATTATATAAATAATAATAATAATAATTACTCTTAAATTATTTTCTTTTTCCATATGCTGCGAGGGAGAGAGAGAGAGCAGTTGGGTGGTCGTGCTCGATACACGTCAGCCAAATTGCCAAACTGGAATTTACACGTGGTCGGGTCATTGTAAGTTTCTCAATCCACGTGTATCGTCCAATCAAAATTTGCCGCTTCGTCAGCACTCAGCATAAGAGTAATCACAAATTACAGTGCTTTTTTTTTTTTTTAATAATAATAATAATCCTAATATAATCCTTTTCCTTCGCCTTCCAATTCCAACCCAACCAGGGATTGTCAACATTCCGATATATCTAAACTTCCAAGTTAAGTGAAGTCTTTAACCTCATGGAGAGTTATTTTTTCCTTTTTTTTTTTTTTTTTGAAGTTGAAAAGTAATTAATTATAATATTAATTATTAATTATATTAAATTTATATTCTATGTGATATAATCAAAAAATTATTATTAGTACTTTTATTAAATAAAGAGTTTTTTTATAATCTAAATTATATTAAATTATATCAAATTTTATTGTACTTAAAAATAGTTAAATTGGAAAATAATTATAATGCTAAGGACACCTCCTAATTATTTTTTCTTAAGTAAATTCTAGTAAAAAAGAGAAGCAAACTAGTCAGGATCACAAGCATTCATCTGGACTTAGATTTTCTTTCTTTCTTTCTTTTTGTTTATTTTTATCAAACTAATTAAGCTTTGACTAGCTCCCAAGTTAAATTTGAAACTAAAACAAGGTGAAATTGCAACAACACAAGACAGATACCCTTTTCTTTTTTTTCTTTTTCTTTTCCTTTTTTTTTGACGTGTAATACTTTTTTTTTTGATCATCCAAAAGAATTTATTAATATTGGAGCACAAGGGGTACTCCTGCCCAATTACAAAGAAAACATCTGCTAGCATGAAAGAATGACAAAATAAAAGCATCCATCACAGGCTGCAGAGCAATTAGCAATTCAAAAGGCCCTATACAAATTCAAGGTAACGATTTCATCATGCATATATCCACTGTTCTTACTGTTGCCTCTCAATGAGGGGAAAAGCGACGTTCCTTTCCAAACTTTACGCTGTACCCGTTCCTTTTTGCTGTTTATGGAACAGTTTCTGTATTTGTTTATATTTTCTCACTGATAGAGCACATTCAACTGGTTCAACCTTCCATTCATGGAATGAAAAGACACACCCATAAATCTTATTCTTAATCCAGAAGAATGATTTGGCTTGGACCATATCCATTAATCTTCCTCGAGTGCTATTACCATTGTTAAACACCTCACCATTTCTCCAATACCATAAATACCATGCAGCCACAAGGAAGATACACGCACCCAACTCCTTCCCTATTACCCTACCCAAATCATTTACAAAGATATCTGCCACACCTAACATGTTATTAGGCATAACAGTCACCATGCCCCACCACTGCAGCACCTCTACCCAAAAAATCCATGCTTCCTTACACATACTAAACAAGTGATTAACTTCCTCCACCTTGTCCTTGCACAAGACACATTTTAATTCTTCTTCCTGCAAAGGTACCCCTCGCTTCCTAATATTCCACTTAGTTGGAAGCCTATCGAGGCATAGTCTCCACCCAAAGAAGGACACTTTAGAGGGGACTAATTTACACCAAATTAACTTAATCCACTGTTCACCTAGAACACGCTCTGATGGGGCTAAAAAATCATAAGCATTCTTCACCCCATATCTACCCTCCGGATCATGTAACCACCTCCAACCATCTTCCACTCTCTTCTTTAAATGAATCCTCTCCAATCCTTCCCTTAACTTCTCCTCCTCATCCTTTTCTCTCCCTATTCTCTCTCTCCTCCATTCCATTTTCCAACGCCATTTGTCTCCCTCCCATACCCCCATATCGCTAATCTTACACTCCTTGTTTGTAGACAATTCATACAATCTTGGGTATACAAGCCTTAAAGATTTATTCCCTACCCATGGTTCATTCCAAAAGCTCACTCGATTCCCTTCCCCTACTTCCCACTTAAACCCCTCCACCAACATATTTCTAAGCTTCATGGATCTCCCCCCTATACTAATAATATCCCTCCATATTTTAGACGTCCTCAAGTTCCCGATTGCTGTAATGTCCACCTCCTCCCACTTGCCCCCATAATATTTCTCCTTAACTATCCGTTTCCATAAGTTCTCTACTCCATCCCCAAACCTAAACCACCACTTTCCTAAAAGAGCCCAATTTTTCCTACGTAAGTCCACCACTCCCAAACCTCCCTTTAGCTTACTACAGCAAACATATTCCCATTTCACCCAAGAGATCTTTTTTTGTGACTCCACCCCTCCCCATAAAAAGGTTCTCTGTATACTAATCAATTCAGCAAGCACAGAATTTGGAATTAAAAACAATGTCATATAAAAAATAGGTAAGGCAGAGAGTACCGAGTTGAGCAGAGTGAGGCGGCCACCAAAGGATAGCGAAGCAGCTTTCCAGACAGCGAGTTTGGCTCGAAATTTATTAATCAATGGCTCCCATAACTTCTTTCTCCCAGGATTTCCATCTACGGGCATTCCCAAATAAATGAAAGGAGATTTCCCAACACCACAACGTAGCATGCCGGCTGATCCTTCTACCCATCTTACTGGCACATTGTATCCATAAATGCTGCTCTTACTAAAATTAATTCGTAAACCAGACATCAGTTCGAACCATCGCAGTATTGTTTTCACCATAAATACATTCTCTGTGTCAGCTTTTCCCATAATAATTGTGTCATCTGCGAATTGAAGTAAAGAGCTCTCTAACCCCCTCCTGCCAATTTCTACACCTCGAAACAGCCCCTCTGTTACTGCTTTTTGCACCAGTCCATTTAACCCCTCTCCAATCATCAAGAACAAAAACGGAGATAACGGATCGCCTTGTCGTAATCCTTTTTCAACCTTGAACTCCTCCGTCGGGCTGCCATTAATTAGAACTGAAATTCTAGAGGTCGATAAGCATTCCATGATCCAGCTTCTCCACTTGATTCCGAAACCCATTCTATCCATCATCCAGTCCAAAAATGACCAATTCACACAGTCATATGCCTTCGCAAAATCGGCTTTAAAAACAAAAGCCTGCTGTTTCTTTCTCTTTACTTCCTCAACCACTTCATTCAACACCAAAACCCCATCAACTAACTGACGCCCTCCCAAAAAGGCAGATTGATTTTCACTAATAATCCCCGGCAGCACAGATTTAAGTCTATTAGCCAACACCTTTGCTAACAGTTTGTACACACAACCAATTAAGCTAATGGGTCTATAATCCTTTAATTCCACAGAATTAAACTTCTTGGGTATTAAAGTTAGGAAAGATGAATTCAGCCCACTAACCAATTTACCATTCTGGTTAAATTCAGAAAAAAAGCTCATAAAATCTTCCTTTAAATTATTCCATGCAAATTTAAGGAAGGTAAAGTTGTACCCGTCTGGGCCCGGAGCTTTTGAGCCTTCACAACTTCGTAGCGCTTCCTCAATTTCTTCGGTGGAGAATGGTCGTTCAAGCCATTGATTTTCCTCTGTTGAAATTTGCTTGAAATTAATTCCATAAGGCTTTGGTCTGCTCCACTTATCTTCTTGAAATAGCTTGCTAAAATAATTCATCGCTTCCTTCTTAACCAGAGTTGGTTCTTCCACCCAGTTTCCATCACACATTACGCCTATAATCTGATTTTGGGCCTTTCTACCATTTGCGACTCTATGAAAGAATCGCGTGTTTGCATCTCCCACACGTACCCAATTGCTTCTTGACTTCTGTTTCCATATCATTTCTCTCTTCCTCATTATGTCCCACATTTTCTGAAATCCTTCTTGTCTTTGCAGGATCTCAAATTCGTCCAGATCGAGCTCCTCATTCTTCATATCAACCTGCTCAATCTGTTTAACAGCCTGTTCATATTGAGCTTCCATGTCTCCAAATACATCTCGGTTCCATCCCTTTAAAAACTCTTTTAACCCCTTTAACTTCTGTTTGCATTTGTACCCTGCAAACCCTTCTACCTCCATTGTTTTCCATTTCTCCTCAATTATCTTCTTAAAATCTGGATGGAGTAACCACGCATCCAAAACTCGGAATGGCTTTGGTCCCCAGTCAGTTGTTCTTGATTTCAGCACAATTGCACAATGATCCGAGATGTTCCGTTTCAAGCCCTGTTGCACCCAATCTCCACCCATTCTGCACATCTCTGTATTCATCAATACTCTATCCAGTCTACTCATGGCTGTACCATCTGGCTTGTACCATGTAAAGCGCCTATTTACCATTTTGATATCTATTAAGCCTGCTGATAGAATAAACGCATCGAACTCCTTCATATCTGGGCTTTCCCCTGTTCTTCCCCTTCTTTCCTCAATACATCTTACAGCATTAAAGTCTCCCGCAATCAACCATCGTCCTCCCTCTTCTATGATCATATTCCTTAGCTCATCCCATAGCTTGAGTCGTTTCTGTCTCTCATTTGGACCATACACATTCACTAGGTTACACTTCACCTTATGTATTCCCCACTCCCCTGTTATTCGCAGATACCCATCGCCTGTGTGATCTCCCGTCTTCTCAAAATTCTGTTTATTCCAAAAACACATTAAGCCTCCTGATGCTCCTATCGATTCCTTCATTACCCAGCCACACTCTCTCGAATTCCACACTGTTCTACTTAATTCATCATCCGCCCTTTCTAATTTAGACTCTTGCAGGAATAGAAAATCTGGCCGTTCCTTTCTCACCAATTTTCCTATCTCTTTCCTCTTCAACACACTACCCAAGCCCCTAACATTGAAAGAAATCAACTTCATCAACTAAATACTCCCACACGCACCTAATCACTACTACCGAGCCCTTAAACCCGCTTCCCCTGTCTATCCCCTGCCTCCTCCCTCTCTTCCAACTCCACCAACCGAGACTGGATTTCCTTTTCGTTTTCTTGGGTTTGGAATCCCAATCTCTTCCCTACGCTCATCATCTTCCTCACCTCATGTAAGATTAACTCTCTTCTAAGATCCCTGTTTCTATTTTCAATGCAACCATCAGAAATTGAGCAACTACCGACCAGATTTACCTTGTTCGCTGCCCCCTTTGAAGATTCTGCTCTCCCTTTGTGTCGTTGATTTGCTCTTGTATTTGGCTCCTGCATCTTCTTTGCCCAGCTTTTCGCTAAGCTCTCTGGGTAACATTCCTCCAGCTTTCTTCTTCGTTTGCTCCCTAATACCTTTAGATCCAGATCTGGAGTTGGTAGACTCCCCTCGTCATTTGTCTCATCAGACTCTTTCTTTTTATTTCTCATCATCTGTCCGTGACTAGGTTCCCTTCCCAGGCCATTTGCATCTTTCAGTCCAATTTCTCCCAGCCCACTTTCTTTTGTTTTCTTCGGCCCAATGTCTTTGGTCGGCCCACTAGCTACATCTTCTCTACCCTTATTTCCTTCATCTGCATGCCGGCTCTCCCTTTCTGCCTTTGTATTTTTGAAATTTGAATTTGAGTTCCAGTGACCCTCCTTCATTAATTGCTCCTCATCAATGCTAACGTCCTCTTCGTCGCAGATTTCGAAGTTTATCCAATCCTGATCCTCCTCGTCTGTCTGCTCCAAAGAATGCTCCAAAGACTGTTCCGAGGACTGGTCCGACTCCGATAGTGACTCACCCCGCCGGTCATCATCCGTCAACCACCAATCTGGGTCGGATCGCCATTCTTCTTCTTCCACCCGAATCTCATACAGCTTTTTCTCCACCTTTAGTGTAATTCTTTTGGAAATCTTATGATCTTCAGAGCATATAACTAGCATTCTTCCCTCACATAAAATTGACTTCATCTTTGTATCTTCATGGATCTTGATGACCTCTCCGACTGATTCTCCAATCATCTTAAAGCATCTATCACTCCATGCTTTCAAAGGAATACCGGAGATACGTAGCCAAACCATTCTACTTCGTTCCTGTACTTCCTTATCCCATGATTGGATGTCTTCAAACCACATAGCTAGCACTTCTTCATTGAGCTTCATAAATTCCAGTAAGAACCCCGGTTCCTTTTCAGTTAACAACACCCTTCTGCCCCCTAATGGTGCTAGGGTGATCAGGCCACCATCTACGTCAATTCTCTGTTGAATTTCATTGATTATTGTTAAAGATTTGACTATAACCACCATGCCCCCTTCAAGCCATTGGAGTTCACTCTGCTCTGGTACAAATTCCATAATTTCCTCTTGTGTTTCCAAATCCGAATTCTCCCCCGTCCGTTTTTTGAAATTTATTGTGCCACAAGATGCCACTTCCTCCTTCCTTTTTTGTTGTCTTGCCTGAATTGGTGTCTTTTTCCGATGAATAAGGTCCCTTTCGTCCCTTTCCATCGTTCTTCCACGAATCAGCAGATGTTGAGGCTTCTGTTCTTTCCCTTTCACCACCTGGGCATATGACTGTCCTGGTTGTACCAACCTGTCTGCTCTGTATTGTTTTCTGCCTCCTGAATCTGCCTCCTTTACTCTCCCATTGCTTCGCTCCTCTGCTATTTTCACTCGCAGCTTGTATGATCCAAACCAGATGTCATTAAGTTTCCTTACCATCTGGTTGTCATTCTGTACCCCTAACAGACGCAGAAATCCATACCTTTTCCCCCATTTGTCTCGTTTCTTTGGCAGATAAACATCTAACACTTTTCCATATCTCTGAAAGCTATACCATAAGTCTTTCTCCTCACAATTTTCTGGAAAATTGTAGAAGAAGAAAGTCTTTATCTGTCCTAAAAGCTTTTGATCAACCCCCGGAATCCAACGCTTGAGCCTCCGCCGCTGTCTGGTGCCGCTGGCCTCCCCTGTCGCCGCTCCTCTTGCTCTAACCCCCTGGCTCTGCATTTTTTTTTTTTTGACGTGTAATACTTGATTTTATTAATTCATTGCAGCACTAAAATAGGGCAATCTTCAAGCTTACCACTTAAACTAACAATCGCTGTAAAAGGAAGAATACCTAAAATAGGAAGAAAATATATAAAAGGTACGTTGTCGCATTTAAGTGAATGCCCAACTTGAATCGATTTTAATTATGGCCATAATATTCATCTTTATTAAGCTTATATAGCAGTAGCAGTGGCACGAGGAGGAGAAACATGCACTGTTTGTCCCCTATTAGGGACAAACATTCTATTGAGAATTCAGATGGATGCCTCTCTTTTTTGTTCCTTCAAGTTAAAGTTAAAACTTAAAACAGCAGTGTTTAGGACATGGACGTCCACATGATATGAGCAAAGTTAGTAGTTCTAATAATTTGGTACTTAGTGTGGTGTGGATAAGCATGACAATAGGTGTTAAATCCCTTTTGATTAGAGAAAGCAAAAGTAGACAAAGCCAATAAGGGAATGAGTACGTGAGAATTTGGGTGTACCATATATACTAGGATATATTTAGTCCTGTTAGATTTGTTATGTTATGCACCACTTTATTGCTTGACACCTGTCTGTCTGCTTATGATAATTGGAAGTGTGTGCTTTTTATTTCAGCTTACAATATTAATGACTCTTTCTCCGAAGGCCAAAAAAAATAAAGGAAAAATGATCCTTTCTGCTTTGCAAGAGTTCACATACACGTACACTATGTACTTTATACTATATAGTAGTGGTACTAGTACTATATATATGTTTTTTTTTAAAAAAAATAAATAAATAATTAAGATATTTTAAAATTAATTTTTGTGTATTTTGAAATTAATACCTCTCCAAAAACACTCTTCACATAAGTGCATTCAACCTTTGAGGATGGCACTAGTTAGTACTGCATGTTTTATATGAATGATCTTCCGCCCGCCCCACCCTCTTTTATTAGTCTTTAGATACTACTCCTGTACTGTAGTAGCACTAATTAATACACTACTAGGTATGTTGTAGTAATTAATTATAGGAATTAATTAACAATATATGTCAATTACTGATTTCGTCATATGATTGAGACTGCAATGAATCGCTGGTTACATACATGAACCCAAAAGGGAACAAGAGCAGGAGCAGAAGCACGCCATGAACAGATTCAATGAAACACAGGGATTGGTTTTATTTAAAAAAAGAAAGGTATGGTCAATTAGAGCCAATAGAAGGTGAAAATAGCTAGGGTGGATCGAAAAGGCTGAGTTATAGTGAGGCACAGCAAACTACATACTGTTGAAAAAGGTACATGCCAATGCCGATGCCGCGTCTTGCCCCTCAAATGAGTATGGGTTGGATCCTCTTCAATTACTGGCGTCACAATAGAACCTTACCATATCTTCTTTAATTGCAATTTGTATATTATTGTCATCTATGGAGCCAATGGCTTAAATTAAGAGTGTTTGCATGCGTGTGTATGTGTGATTGAGAGGATTCTATTTTAACTCTCATTGGCAGGGGATATTCATGCATCAACCCCAATATGGCTGCCTCTTCTTTCTGTGTTAGAACATATAATTGAGTCTAAACACATTGGGTGTTTAATTAATATAAAAATTATAGTTGACAAGTAAATAAAATAGTTTATTTTAGTATATTTTAAACACATATATTATTTAATTATGTAATATAAAATTTTCCTACTTTAAATATTCATAGGCCTCACATATAAACTTAATTCTTTTAAACTTTGATTCCACAACATTTGATGAAATAGTGAAAATTTTCTTATTTGGATTTACTTTAGTGAGAACCTATGTGTAAATAAAGAAACACACAAGAAAAATATAAATACATAAATAAATATGAACTTTGAGCCACTCCTTTTGGTGGGATACCCTGTAAATTTGCTAAATTAAAAAATTTGCAATTATGGGCCGTCTATTTAAGATGGGATGCCTTAAAAATATGAATAAAGATAGAGGAAGGCACCTTTGGATTGGAATCTATGTGAAGACAATGATGGACAAGTTTTGAGGGTGTGAGTGGATTCTATGATATTTGATATATCATATGATGAAGCACAATTGCTCTCCATGTAAGCACAATTCAATAATTCGATTATTAGTTTGGAAACAAAATTTTTAGGGTGGGATTTCGGTCCCCCCTAGTCGATACATTGTTTGACTTTCTTTTGACCTCAGCTGAGGCTTTCCCAGCCATTGGATCAGATGGATTAGTGCTTGATTAACCTATGAATGTGGACCTAGCCCAAGAATATGGAAAATCATTTCCTTTGTGTACTTTTCTCTCTTTTTTCCTCCCCTTTAGAAGAAAAAAGACACAAAATCCTCTGTGGAAGTTGCCATTAGCCGGCTAGAACATAGAAGCTTGACACATTAATGTCTTCACTTGGTCCCTTTTTTTCTTTTAATTGTCTACATTTAAAGCAGTAATTGGATCAGCTGGCAGAGAAAGCACAGGAAGGAGAAGTTTTTACGCGTAGGCAAAGCCATGTAGATAAAGAGAGATTGGTCAACCAAAACAGCTTCTCGTAGTTGGTACTAATCAAGTCCAAAATCCATGTTAATACCCTCTTATTGGTTCTAATGGAAACCCTATTAGCATTCAAATTAGTGCTTCAATTTGGTCAATATTGAAAGCACTCACTATTCATTTTTTTCATTTGGGATAGGACGATAAGCTTTGTGGCATTTAACTCTTCAATGGGACATATTATATGATTTTGGATATAATATCTTTGAATTAATACCTAATTTTATGTCAAACAATCAAAGAAGGTTTTTATGTACCAAAGAAGGTGTTTTTTTTTTTTTTCTATCCATTAAATGATTTAACAACATTAATTTATAGATAATGTTTGTTGGAAATAATCACATAGAATTAAACAAGCACATACACTAATTCAAGTGTTTTATCAAGTGAGAAAAAGAAAATATTTTGTTATGTTATGTCATATTTTGCCGTTCTCAATAAATTATTGGCTTAACATTAATTAAAGCTTTTATTTGTTTGTCACACAATTAGCTTGGCCCGGAAAATGCCTAAATAAATAAGGACATATCAGATGACATAAACAATTAAATAAAGGCTAATTTCATTTACATGAAAAGTAGAGGGGTTGATTTGTCACAAAAATGTAGGTTGAATGGGTTATTTGCACCATTTGCCTTATTGTTATTGTTTTAGTTTTAACTTGCTTGAAGGGTAACAGATGAAGCAAGAAAGACTAGGTAGACAGAGACAGAATAACATAGGAGAGTGCATCACTGGTCTGCTTACCTACCAACAAAATTAAACGATATGAGATGAAATTGTTAATTTTGATATTGAACTTCTTTTAGTTTTAAATGAACTTGTTGGTATGGTGCCATCACCTGAACTAAATTACTTGCTGTTTTGATTGGTATACTAAAATTCTGAATCTGAAAAATACAGATAAGATGTCAATTACTGCAAAACTTGTGATTGAACAAACAAAGTATCCTTGAAGCAAACAAAGTATAAGATTGATTAAGATCCAGGATCTCTGAGAAGGTATATTCCTTCCTCTAAATATATTCAATGCCAAAAATAATAAAGGGATTATACTATAAATGTAAGGGAGTAGTTCAGCTAATGATCTTAAGTGTTATTTTCTATAGTTTAATCATAACCTAACATCAAAGGAAGATTAAGGGACAGTGTTAATTGAGTTCTCATTGTCAAAAGCAAGTTGCATGCCCATGTCTGTGTGCCTCATCATATTCATCAAAGAATTCAGAACACTAATCACTAATTAGCTCCAAGATATATGTTCAGTTTTTCTTTCTTTAATTTTAATGTTAGGTGAAACTTATATTATTATAACCTACTCCTTACTCTATCAACAAATTCACCCTCCACTTAAGAGCAAATAGGGATAATTTTCTATGGACTAATTTTTTTTAACTAATCTTTATAAACCAGCAAGTTGCAAAGGTTTTTCATATGGTATTTTTCTTCCCTTTGGCATCCTATAGACCATTTTTTTAGAGGTCTGACATTTCTTCAAAAGAAAGCCATATATATATCTATATATATAGTAGGCTAGCTGATGAGAGCATGAGAACAGAAAATTAGTTATTTCAATCAATAAACGAGAACAACATAGAGAAAATGATATGTTGATTTTATTGAGTGAAGAAAAATTCATCGTTGAATTCAGTTACAAGATGAAAAGACGGTGCTGAATTTGCGTAATCTTCAAAACTTATCAGAACAAATATGCTTCTGATACCTCTGTCTTATCTTACCACTCAGCAAGATTAAACATCTGCAAATCAGTTATATTTTTTAAGGCAGAATGAAAACAAGTTGGCATGAGTTGTTCTTTAAGGCATGAAAGGGGCAAAAACCACAACTGAATTGTGTCCGCCGAAGCCAAATGAATTAGATATTGCTGCATGAAATGAAAACGGAAAAACTTTTGACATGTTAAACCCAAATGAATTAGATTCCTAATTTCCATGAATTCTTTTTCATCTATTCACAGTTGAAAGTTAGAGCTGAAGAGGAAATAAAATACCTACCAACATTGACTTCATGCTTCTTCTTCACATTAGGAACAGTATCGATTGTGACATCAGGCTCCAGGTTCTGGAGAAAAGAATTGGGATTAGAAGAACATAAAACCATTGTCAAACAATTGGATTAACTGTTGAGTGCATCGTCTCCACTCAATTTGATTATGAGACAAAAAAAAAAAAGTATGGACAGTGTCGAGGAATTTTTTTTTTTCTTTTTGTAGGAGATCCAATTTGAAAGAAACAATGGAGCATGTAATCAGATAGAAAAGAGTTTTTGTGCATACATCCTGGTTAATAGTTGGGTGCAACCAGCCAGTTGTGATAGCTTTTATGGTTGCTATGGCTTCCAATCCACCAGCGGCTCCAAGCCCATGTCCAATCATTGACTGAAACAAGAAACGGTATATATTGGTCATCTCAAAGTTTCCATTCCCATATGAATTATTTTCCTGTCTTACTTGCAATAGAAGCTTATATATCTATAAATATACTCCCTGTTTCTCACCTTTGTCCCATTCATCTTCATCTCAGAAGTGTCTTTAAACACCTTCTTGATCGCATTAACCTCAGCCAAATCACCTGCTAGTGTTGATGTGGCATGAGCATTCACGTAGTTCACCTGTAGGTGGACAATTGGTTCAGTCATAGTAAACTAGAAAGAAAAAGATAAGAAATATGGAGCTAGTTGATCCCACTGTGTGCAAGTGTGTTTGTTTGTGTGCTCAGAAAAGAAAGTTATCCCAATGTCAATAGATAAATGGGTGCTATGCCTCTTCAGGGGAAACTCGTGCATCTTCTAGACTCTTGGTTATGCAAGATGAAACTCCAAGACCATCAGACCGAGGGTCAGTCATGTGATAAGCATCACAGGTTATCCCACCTCCTAGATATTCTGCAATTATGTTAGCTCCTCTTTTCATTGCGTGCTCCAAGCTCTCCAGAATCTGTATTCATTTGAGAAAAAAATAAAATAAAATTAGTTCTAGCACAACTAACGAAGAAAGACTGTAAGAGAGGCAACTTCTTGTTGTTACCAGAACACCAGAGCCTTCTCCCATAACAAAGCCATCACGATCTTTGTCCCAGGGTCTTGAAGCTCTCTTTGGTTCATCATTTCTC